GGGGGTGGGGAAGTGGGGTGGGGTTGACCTGGGTCTAGAACTCTCCCTCAGGGGGTTCTGATGCATAGCCATGTTTGGGAGCCACTTATCTGGCTCACCCACACTGGACAGCCCCTAGCCCACCTCAAACAGGCAGGACACCTCTCCTGAGCCTTCAGAGGGTGATCTCAGAGTCCAGTTTCGCTTCCACCCTGGCAGGGAGTGTCAGTCAGGCAGATTGGCAGCTGTTCTAAGCGTCCTCCCCCACCCATCCTGGGTGATTGCATGAACCGAATAGAATCATGCACAGCCCTCGTCTTTACAGCTGGCACGTCACTTGGCTTAATTACAGGGCACTGTGGCGTTTCAACTTGAGGAATCTAAAGCAGCAATAAAATGGGTTTTGCAAATTGTTAGGGAGGCAACGAAGACCTTGGAACTGCAATTTCCTAAGTATTGCTTTCGATTATTTTGCATTCTCCAGCCATGACTCTAACCAGCAGCCTGGGAAAGCCAAACAGGCAGTGTGTCCTGTGGAGGGTACTTCACGCCTCCTGAGGACACCCTGTGTGCTGGGGAGGTGGCTGGAGGCTCCAGGAGCCGCCTCGCCTCGCGGTGGGAGGGGTTGTGACTGTTCTGAGCACGTGTTCTTCCCATCAGACACCTGCTAATCATGCTTCCGTCAAGACACTCCCACAACCATGGGCTCTGACTGGTCTGGGGTGACCTTCAGCAAGGGACCCCCTTTCTCTTTACTCTGGAACATCTACTGTCTGCAGAAAGCAGAGGAAAAAAGTGCGGGGAAACAAAATGAGTCCTTTAAAAATTTAGGGCTGGTGCCTGGTCTCTCTGGCCCTTTGATTTCTTTTCCTGCTATTTCCTGGTTCCTTTTAACCCTCGAAAATGTGCTTTTTGGGCAACCATTGTGAAAGGAAAGACTGTGGTGTTCCTCCACCACCCTGCTCCCTCAAGCCTCGTAGTCTTAGGAAAGATAGCACAGAGGGACCCCATCCGTCTGAGGAAGAGGCCGCAGGAAGCTGCAGCAGGCAGTGCTGGGCCAGATCCCTCTTGCTGTGAGCTTGGTAGGCATGCTCACCAGGAGCAGAATGCCAGCTGCCTCAGCAGTTATGCCAGGTGGGAGAGCAAACACCGAAATCCTGTTGGCAAAGCCAGCAGGGCCGTCACACTGTGGCCAAAGCAAACAGAGGCCGAGGCAGGCCAGCTGCAATGAACTCCCACTTCTACTTGGATCTGGCAGAGGGTGAGACAGAGCTAGCTGAGCCACGTACCAGCGCATCGAGTAGCCATGCGTGTGCTCATTCCGATCCCCGGGCTGCTGCTCTTGCTCTCCTTGGCATGGTCCCCTTTCATGTTGGCACTTTGGCCAAGGAAAGTCTGATCATGATAAAGCACTTCACGTGTATTGCTTTGGTTATTCTTCCCAGCAGTCTGTGAGATCAGTACAGTGTTGTCCCCATCTTACAGATGAGAAAACTGAGGCGAGGGGAGGGACATCAGAGCCAGGACTTAGTGTGGGGGCCTCTGACTCAGGGTCTGCTGCATTTCCCATTCCCTCCACCCTCCCACCTCTCCACCCAAACTCTCCCATTTCAGTTCCCACACTCCCTTCACGGGCAGAGCTCCCACTGTCTAAACCAGAGAAGCAGAGGCTCAAAGGAGGGTAGGGATTGTTTTTGTTTTTAGAGCAGCTCATTGATCCCCCTGATTCTTTATCTGCCATACCACCAACACAGAGGCCCAGTAGAATGAATACGATTACAAATATTTTCAATTTTTTGCATATTTCAACAAGTCACAACCCCTCCCCCTTTATTTAAACACGAAGGATCTGAATCAAGATCTCTGCTTTTTTTTCATGTTACAATGTGGTTGTATTTAAACATAGACTCAATAGACCCTCTTATGACCTGCTGCCTTTTGGTGTCTCCAGGCCCCAATGTATACCCGCGAAAATGCGTCTCTCTTGCCACCTGGTTGGGAACTGTATGTTTCACGGAGAGATAGACAGTGGCTACATTCATGTCTCATGGAGGGCTGGGCTCCTACTGAGAGAAGAAAGCCAGCTGTTGGGTTGGCTGTACCCTTCCAAGTCCCCTTCCTCAACAGCTTTCCTGATGATCTGAAATTTCCTGATTATTCCCCAACATCCCTGTTTGAGGGGAGAGAACAGGAGAAGAAACGAGGAACCCTTCATGGAACTCAGTGGATCTGATAACCAGTCCTTTTCACCACCCAGCATTCTGATCTGCTCTCCCCGGGACCCTGCGGGGAAAGGCCATTCGTCAGAGGGGCCTGGGGAAGTGGAGGTGGAGGGCCGGCTGGGAGGGCGTCCTCCCTGTCTCCCTCGGCAGAGAGGCCCAAGAGCGCAGGGCGGGGCCGGGGGTCCCGAGGGGAGAGAGGCCCGTGCGGGGCTGGTTTGGAGGTTCTGCTGGAGAAGGTGCGCACGGGGAGGGCGCGTCAGGGCGGCGTTGCTGTCCCGAGCGACCGGAGGAGCAGGGCTGACTCCAGGGGCTGAGCCGAGAACAAGCCCAGGTCCACCGTACTCTGCGCGCTTCCCCGGCACCGCACCTCCACTGCGCTGTCTGCCCCGCACGCATCCCGCATCCCGCTCTGGAGCCAGGGCCGGGGGA